CCCCCCCCCCCCCCCCCCCCCCCCAATCTTGTAGGAAGCTGAAGTCAAAGATTGCGGGCTGATGATAAATATCATAAAGCCTGCCATTTGAAATAAATAAATAAAATAAATGTTCTTTCGATCTCCTATTGGTGATGTCACTGACCGCAATCTTACTGGTTATTGGAGTGTTTGTTCTGGCTCTTCATCACTAAAACATTCTCACCAGCCCCTTGCCTTTCTTGGCTTAAACCTGTGATGTCAAATTCTGCAGCAGTAATTTATGACTCAGTGGACACTTTGAATGATCTTACAACACGTTCAAGCGTGCTAAGACTTGTAATGAGAAATTGTCTTCGCTTTCTTTTATGGGTGCTTCTAGATTTGCTGGTGTTATGAATTTGTTTAATACCGTGTAAATTGTCAAAGTTCTGAATGGTTAACTGGCGGCGAATCAGATGCAACATAACGTAATTTTTGCGCATTGCATTATTGTATCTAAATTGTACAATGTAAGCGTATATTTAGTTTGCCAAAACAAGAAATTGAGTAAATCGTTTTTAGTTCTGGTGATAATAAGCATTTGTAAAGTAGTGAGGTAACAGGTTAAACTAAGTGGCAGATACGGAAATTGAATGTTAGGTGACGCGACATTTGTGCACACAACACCTCCCACCCTAACCAAGGGGACCGGTGTGGACAGAGAAGCACACAAGTTGTTTACAGAATAGACCGATGGTGCTATTCTCTCTTGAAATTATGAAATTACAGGTCGTCCCGGAAAGTGAATACAAATCAAAACAAGAAAAGAAATTTAAAGAGTGAAATTGAATGTCATTGTACATTTTAAACTATGCGTCAAAGAAGTCAATGATTGCCGCTAAAAGAGCAGCCTTTCTATTTGAGGCTGATTTTACATTTCGCATGATGGCACACTGCTTCAGTGTAGGTACTGTTAATTTGGCCAGTGTGCCGCTTTTAACGTGGTCTTGAAGTTCCCTCAGATCTAAGGTAGTTGCAGCTTTCTTTGAAGGGGACGCGAAACATTTATCCCCATCAGCTTGGGATATGAGGTCGATAAATTTGCTAATCTCCTTTCCAGCATGTTTTTGCATTTCTTCCACATCAGGTTCTACAGGAAACAGCAGCCAGATTAATGCTGATTCAGCCAAGAGACAAAATTGAAAAGAACATACGTGTATGATCAACAATTTCATTCACCTCCGTGCGTTCAAGGACCAGAGCTTCTAATTCAGCATAGTATTTCTGAAGAGTTGGATTGGAGATAGCATCAGAATAGTATTTTGTCGACATCTTCTTTATCATTTCTACCGCAGCGTTCACCTCTTCTGAACCAGCTACTAAAACGTAGGTCAGACTTCAAATTAAAACATCCTCCCGCGATTCGGGAGCTTATAAATTATCTTGAAATCGCAAATACCTGGAGGATGTTTAGGCAGCACCAATTTTCTAAAATCTTCCCTGAATGGGAGATATGTAACCTGAAATCCTGGACTAGCTACTTGTCCACCAGTTTCATCCAGTTGTTCAGCCTAAGACATGGAGAAGAAAGGCCAAAAGAAATACTGGCTATACCGACACAAAACAAGTTTTTTTTTATTAGAAACCCACCTGAGGGACAAGAGCAACTAAATGCGGTGGTAAACCCTGACGCTGCACATAGAGAGCAACGCCGAATACTTTCTTCCTCAGACAGGAGGAAAGGAGAGCGGTGAACCACAAAGTGCTTCCTTTGGCCATAGTCTCTTCTGGATAAAGAAACTGAGGGGCCTTCATTTGACACCAAGGTTTTAATTTATCCAGTGGCTTGAAACCTATCAAGTGAATGCCTGAAATAAAGAGAAAATTGCTTCGACATCGTGACTAGGAAGAATTTAAGAGAATACGAACTGTTTCTCACCACCTGGGATGATTTGTCTTACTCGCCCAGACGTTTCATTCCGTTCGAAACGAAACTTACGACTTCCAATACGAAGACCTTTCTGAATGTCTTGAGGCATCACCATGCTATCAAGATCAGGTTTTCCACCTTCCTTAACTTAACTTAGAAACGTCGTTTTGAGGCAACTGGTTCATTAGTTTTAGCGTACATTCGAGCCTTTCAGTGTTTGTTATAAAAAGGAAATAGACTATAAGGCCATGTGGTTCTATTTCTAGTTAATCCCCAAGCCGCTTTTGGGCAGAGGGACGGTAGCTTAGAGTTTCCTTGGCAATAGACCATCCGCTTCCTTTGCTATCCAGATTAAATCCATGGAAGAGACTATCCCACCCACTGGGCATGTACTGATGAGCATCAAACTCGTAACATATTCCTTGCCCATTACTATATCTACCTATTTTGTGGGTTGAATATCTCTGTTGAATACCTGTTTTAGGACACTCAATAAGCTTCCTTAACTAACTCCATTATGAGAAAATTGTCGAAATTTTAAGTACGTATTTTCAATAGTTATCTTTAGTTTGCTCAACGTTTAGTCAACACAATATCTATATATATATATATATATATATATATATATATATATATATATATATATATATATATATATTATGAAAGGAATCATTTTGAGCAAGAGAACCTGGAGACATGGGCACTGACATTTAGGCACTTTCATTCAAAGGGTAGAATTTGGCTTAAAGAAGCAAGTTAAAGCTTAAACGTGACGTTTTCCAAAGTAGTTGAATACTTATTCTTCGTGATTCACTATTTCAAGTTTTTTCGAGATCATGCCTTAAGGCAATGAGAAACTCATTACCGATTTTGGAAACGGAGCACGTCGAACAAGGCAATAGGCTGAGACACCGAAGGCAAGAGTCGGGGTAACATCAGGACTCAGTTTACCCAATGCAGTGGGTGTCATGGGTACCAAGTAGAGTGGCAAACGGCCCAAACTACGGTGACTTGGCTCTTGAGACATCTCCCTAAATGTTACATGATACAATGAGTAGTGCGATAACTTGATGGGGCATGAAGTGAAGTTTAGATCAGAATGAGATAAAAAGATTATGAGTTGATATGGATATTTCATGGATATTTAATGAATGTTAATAAGGACACAGTGAAATGTCTCTTTTTCAATTTCTCCTTAATTGAAACTGTAATTAAGAGTTTGCAAGTTTCTTACCCCACCCTCCCCCTCTCACAGCAAATAAAATGGCTGTTTGAGTGAATGTGATTTCACAATATATTTTCCTCATTCCTCGTTCTCCATCGGGAGTTGGGTTTTCTAAGGTTATGATACGATTTTATTTCAGCCTTATAAATAGGGATAGTTTTTCGTATAGCATATTTCTCTGTCAATAAAAGCTGTTTAATTCCTTTTCTGTCAAACAACCGAAAGTGACTTTCGCGGCATTGGTGCCCGCCAGTGAAAGGGTGGGCAACGGGAGCCTTTAGTATCCCCTTTCTAACCCCCCTCCACCTCCACCTCCCCCACCCTCAATCCCTCCCTCTTCCACTAACGCATTATTTGAAACACAAATAAGGACCTGTCAAACATCAGGTATTTATTGAAAAAACATATTAGAATGAAATGGCACTAAATATTGTTGCATTCGTTAATGACAGAAATTGGATTTAATGCTTTTTGAGGGGCATTTTTGGCCATGGTGATGAATGCTGACAGTTTCATCCAAGTGTTGGAGATATGAAACGGCATCAATTAGAAATTTTAGTGGCGGTGTGAGTGGGCTTGAAAGATAAATGAAAGTGACTGAAATAGTTTTGTTGCATACTTGGCGTTCTGTGTCCTATACAGGCTGAATATGAATTATCAAAAAATGAGACAACCACAAATCGTTATCCACTACTCTCCAAGCGAAAGATATTACAAAAGCTAATTAAATTTATGTTATTCAAGTAATTTTTGGGAATCCCTCAAGCAAATCAATTTTAAAGATGACTAGCTTCAAATCATCAGCCCATTTAATCGTCAACTTTTCTGGAACAAAAATTCCACCCAGTTGATCGAAAACCTGTTTCAGAAGTTATTTTTAGTGAAGTGAAATTGAAGACAAAACGAAATACTAAATGCCAATAACCACGATGCATCCGCACCTTTGTTTCCATGCAGCATTAACTTCAAATACAGAAAATAACAGCATCATCAAAAGTAAGATACTTAATCATTTTCGAAATTAATATGATTTTGACTTATTCAAATGTGCATTTGGAAGGGCAAGAAAAATAGAACCCTAATCGCACGAATAATTCGTATTAATCGTTATCGCGAAAAGAAGCTACAATTTGGCCAACTTGGCTTGGATTTGAATATTATTCAAGGCAGTGGACAAACTATTTTACAATTTATTACTAGTGAGAAATAATTTTATCAAAATTATTTGACTGTCATGCCTAGCATTGTCTCAGATTATATATAGACAAATGAAAATATTATTCATTTATTTACCAAAGATCGACCGCAGTTCTAGCCTGCTAAGCTTACTGTTGCTGTTGTTGTTGACGCGGCTTTATTTCTAAACAACAGTAGTTGAAACATTTCTAAGGCATGAGGAGTACGCACCCCTAGCACGATTAAAGTAAGAACGTTCTGAAGTGTGTCGTAGGGCGTGCAGAAGAGCTCTCAGCTAATCGAGCATTAGTGTTCATTCAAGTTATGCTAACACATTTAATTAATAGTCATGCTTGCTGTGACCCGAATTCCAATAAACGCTTAGCTCGCCATTCGAGAACCTACCAAAACTAGAATATTTAGCCTAGAGATAATAAAGAGAAATGCTCAAATTATTTTAAGAATGTTTGATATAAGTATGTTGCTTGATTTTGGTAGTAGTGTTTATGATAACACTATTTTTATTATTTAAGGAAAGAAGTTTGAGAGAAAGGAATTTTTTCAAAGCGTATGAAAATTCACAAAAATCGATCGTCCCATCGTTGTTCATATCCGCAAAATGAAAAATAGCCTATAAAAGTGATATAGAGGACTAAGAAATTCAACCTTGTAGATCTTCTTCACAAATATTTGCGTTTAATTGCATGGCTACTCGTTTCAAGTCATCAAATTGAAGAGATGTAGAATCCTGTTGACAATTTATCTCGAACGATTTCCTTATTTCATCATCTGTGAATTCGCTAAAAATTAGAATTTCCATTATGTAAAGAAATGCTCTAAAATCCAGGCTTCCTAAAAATGACAAGACAGTGTGATACTTTGTTATTCACTCACCTGTACGTTGAGGATCGTAACGTTTAAGCAATTTTGAAATTGCGAAAGGCGTTACATGTATAGCAAGAGCGCGAATTACAATGAAGATATCATCTGAATCTATTTTTCCAATGCCTTCTCCATCTAACAGGTCAAATGCCTTCTTTAATTCATCTTCTTGTTTTGCATCAAAAAAGAAATTTATGTTCCTTTTTGAGAGAACCATGAATAAATATCCTGCCAAGGAGAAAATAATTGTCTTGTAGAAAGGCAGAATTTACTTCATTAATAATTTAAAGGTAGCAAAACTACAACTTTAATTATGCTCTAAGTCGCTATCATGGGATGCAAGAAGGCTATGAAATCCGATAAATATTTAATAAAATATATTGTCAAAGTCAGATATACGTCCTTAAAGAAATATAATAAAGCAACCAAATCGACTAAAATATTTAAAATACTTTGATCTTTAAGCTATAAATACGTATAATTCAACCATGCATAAATAAACTTTTCTCAATTACTAGAAAAGCAAAAACTATTAGCTTTTAAAAATTCAAAGGTCAATTAATTAAACTCATTTGGCTACGTAAAAAAAGATAATTCAAATGAAATCTCGTTTCATGTACCTTCTATATAAACAACTAATGCCCATTTATAAAGTAAGTTTATATTGTTAGAAGATGGTCACACGTTCCCAACACTATTTATGTGAATCGTTGTTGAGCGTAAAATAATTCAATAGCACAAGAAAGCCGAGCTCTATTTAGGCCAAAAACCTCTTTTCGTTAGGCTTTGGTAAGTAATGTGGAGAACATTTATTATCAAAAAGTTAGATTTTTGGCACGTAAATATTATTTAAAATGACAGCCTTTGTGATATTTATCATTAGCCCCTAAACTTTGACTTCAGCTTCCCCCAAGGGTGGGGGGTACATTTATAGCAGTTAATCAATAGCAGGTTATTAGCTGTCTTCTTGCTTCCCAGTATCTCTGGCTTTCCGTCCTTGTCTTTAGAGCTGGACACCAAATCAGGTGGGTCTTCTCCATTTCCTCCTGTAGGTTACATAGAGGGCATGTGGGTTGAGTGTATATTCCCAATCTGTGAAGGTGTTTCGCCAAGCAATCGTGTCCGGTACGTAGTCTAAACTCACCAACGGCTTCGATTCTTGGCCAGTCGGCTATGTCGGAGAGTGCCAATGTCCACTGTTCCTCCTTTCTTCGAGTTTTAAGTTCGTTGCAACTTGAGGTCTTGAATTCTCCCCTGATTAAGGCTTTTTGTATGGAAAGACATGAATATAACAAACAGTATTCATATTGCTGTAATATTTTGTAAACATTTTATTCACATTAAAAAATAATTTTAGAACAAAATATATGTAAATCATTCATTTTTATGTAAGTTAACCTTTGGGTTAAGTGAATGTTGTTGATTTGTAGCAGAAAATAGAATTGATTCATTCTTAAATAAGCATCATCTGCAAAAGTTGCTTATTTGATTTTCGTATATTTTTTGCCTTTAATTGTTTAGTTTGAATGTAGTTTTGATGAAAACCGTGAATTTATATAATGGTAAAATTGTTTCATTATATATAGGTTTTACAAAAAGTGTGTCACTGTGTCTGAATTTAAGAAATCATATCTATGATCTATACAATATGCAATCGAATATTCAAGCACTATCGACCGATTTTCCATTTCAAATATTTATTTCACGATCTTTCAGTTATGTTCCAATACTATCATCAACTCAGTAATAGTTGTGAGCTTATAAAATTGATTCGCTTAAACATCCGGGTGTGTATTTAACAGCATAGGAAATATGAGCGTCATTTTTGGTACAGAGACAAGGTATACTAAACTAGTTCTAGGAATAGATATGCAAGTGCCTCATCAAGTCAGAAATCTCTATCCAAAATTTGTATATAAACTCATTGAAATTTGTAACTACAATTGTGCTTATTTATTTAGAAATCACAAACCAACTTATATTTGGTAACAGAGAATTACGAGCACTTACTTCCATTTTAACATTTAAGGGCTAAGCTCTAATTTTTTGCCCTACAAAATAAAAAGTGAATCAGAAAGTCCACAAAACTTCATTTAAATGGCAATGAAATTCAGCAAACTTAAAAAATATACAGGTGAATGAGTTAAAAATCCAACTAACGTTTTCGATAAGTATTGTCCATCTTGTTTCATTTGAATACAAGTGTTAACTGAAAAATGCCAATAATCTTACAATAATTAACTCTAAATCCCTTTACTCATATTTTAACGGAAAATAATTGCAATTTTAAGATGTCTAATATTTAATGAAAACTAAACCGCAAATTACAAACTCTATGTCCACGCGATCTTATTGGCTGTAGGTACGAATCGGTTTCACGTCACGCATGGATCAGAACGAGTCTGAAGCTGCAACAGAATGAAAATCTGCCGAAAGAGACAATGTTGTTGGTGGATTTACCATAGTGCGAGACACATTGAGATATTCTACGCCGAAGGTTTGGTGTGCTTATTTTATTTCATAGTATAGGTTAAACAAGTTCTTCCATATT